CAGCAAAATCTGGATATTAAAATATAACCCATTTAACAAAACTCACAGTGTACTAGGCTTCTGTATGGCTTTATAAATATTTCTTCATCTTGTTGCCAAAGTAACCACCAAAAATGACCATATAGACCAGGGTCAATGAGGAAACTTACGCTGTTGTGTTCCCATTAACTGAACTCCAAACTTTATTCAGAGCTCTTGAGTTTTCCCGCCAATTTCCATTTTGGTTCCACCGATCTAGAATACCACATTGCATTTTGTTGTAACTCTTAGCCTTCTTTGGTCTGGGACAGTTGGGGTTTTTTGTGGTTTTTTTTTAGTCTTTCCTTGTTTTTCGTGACCTTGGCATTTTGGAGGAGTGTCGGCCGAGCATTTTGTAGAATGTTCCTCAGTTGGGGTTTGTCTGATGGTTCCCTTGTGATTGGACTAGGCTTGTGGATTTGTAGACAGAATCCCACAGAGGCCGTGAGCCTTCTTATCACTTCCTACCAGGACGTGCGCGATGATCCGCATATCGCAAGTGCCGTTACCTGCACCAGCCTCCTCCGCCAGAAGCTGCTGATTGTCTGCTTCCCTGCTCTGTTCTGTGGACGCTGGTCACTAAATCAGCCGATGCTGGATCAAGCCCACCTCACAGGGGGCCCAATTGTATTGTTGGTTCTTGTCCTCTGCTCAAGTGGGAAGCACCAGGGAGTGAGTGCCCTCAAGTGTCATCTCCTCTCTAAGTCCTGTCCTCAGGGAGGGACCCCCTCTCTCTCTGCGTGTCACCACATGCCTGCCTCCTCCTGCCGCAGCCCCAGGTGGGACTGCACGTTTGCTTCCTCCATGGTGTAGCCACGTTCGCCAGGGCTGACTGCACAGCTGTTCAGTCACAGTGGCATTAACTGCAGCAGCAGCACTGGAGAGTTCTGTTGTTTGGCACTGCTAACCGTCCTTTACGTGGGTGATCTCCTGTCACTCCCACCACCCTCTGAGGCGGACGCGTTAGTGTTCCCTGTTGTACAGATGAGAAGCCTGAGCCGCAGTCAGCGTTCATTGCCCAAGGGAACTGGGGCAACCGTGCTCCCTCGCGCCCATTTCTCAGCCAGGTGTCTGGTAACCAGCAAGTGTGGAATCAGTATTTCAATGCATACAGTGATGAATTGATTAGCAAGACTAATTTTCCTCTTTGATGGACCTTCTTTGATTCCCTTAAAACATAGAAAAAAAAAGAACTTAAAAAATAATCAGGCTTCCTAAAAGGCACTGAAAGCAAAGTTCTATCACATTCCTTCCCTTTAACTCTACCGTCACCCTTGGCGGGCTTGTTAAAGTGGCACGCTGGTTCCCGCCTGCACATGGCATATTTGCAGCTTATTTTACCTTATCACCCTTCAGACTAATTTAATGTATTAGTGAGTAGGGACAGGAATATTTAATTTTGACTTTAACATCCTGATTCCTGAGGTGAAGGGAATGAACAAGAGTCAGTAAGAAGTCAGAAGGTAGACTTAAAGCCAAAATAATGCACAGGGAACATGCCATAGTGTCCTTAGTGGACAGAACTATACCATTCTTTAATTCCATCTTCCAGTTCATTTATTTGTGCCCCAAAAAATCTTGATGCAAGGCCATGTGCTAGACTAGAATAAGTAAATGTGAACAAGATGGAGAAGGAACCTGTTCTCATACAGTAACCACCTCGTGGGGAGACAGACACGAAGGAATAGACAGTGAATTGCATAGTAATAAGCTGTCCAAGGAAACCAGGACTCACTGCCAGGACGGTGCAGATCCGCCGCGGCTGTGCCTTTCTCCCAGAAGCCTCCCCGGCAGGGGATCAAATCTGGATCCGGACGTTTCAGATGCATTTGTTGAATTCATTAAAAACAAAATATTTCTCAGCATAGTTGAGTGAGAAACTCAACCTAAACTGTTAGACTCTTAGTACTGATATGTTGGCAGTATGTCTCCATCAAGATCTCCTCCCTGCATGAGTCTCAGCATGGGAAATTGCTCCTGGCAGTCCAAACTGCCTGTGGTTTCTATCCGGGCCTCACCGCCCCTGCCTTGTAGATTCGGTTGCCACGTCAAGAGTCGGCGAGCTGTTCAAAATGGGTCCAGCTGCCAAAATGTGAATTTCCTGCTCCTTCAAGCAAGTCAGCGAGGAGAAGCTAAAGTGCAAACGCCTTTCCCTTCTCATATTAGAAGGGCAGAGTCATACCCGAGAGAGGAAGGCTTCTTGCTGATTTGTGTCCCCTTTCTTCCCCCCTCCCCCCAAAGAAAATCTAGGTTTAAGTTAACCACAAAGGCTTCTTGCTGATTTGTGTCCCCTTTCTTCCCCCCCTAAAGAAAATCTAGGTTTAAGTTAACCACCATCTTTATTTAGTGTCATGTTTTTAACTTAAAAGCATTTATTCAAAGTTTTGAAAAACAAAGCATTCAATACTCTGAGACTTGTGCAAGAGCAAATGATTAATGACATACTCCCCAGTCCTTTGTAAAGTGTCTTAACACTGAAGAGATTTATACAGTGTGGACTGGCCGGGGAGCTCCGATATGAGAGTAGATAATCAATACCCGCAAGCCTGGGAAAGGTGTTCTATTTCCTCCACTAATGACATTGGGGTTCTGCAAGGCAAGGGTGTCTGGAGCATGAAGCACTGCAAAGAAGAATTAATTTAAAATCTGAAGTGGAAGATCAGTTTCAATTAAAATTGCATTTGAACGTATATTGGGTGGAAGTGTGAAAGCAAGCATGTAGTCGGCTAAATCTCCAGATTGTTACCAGTGAATAAATGAATCCGCTGGTAGGAGCCCCGATTACATTTTTATAGAGAGCTGAGTTGTATTTCACCCACGCTAGAAGGTGAGGAGAAGTAATACAGACAGCAAGTTCTTCTCAGAGGTTGCACGGGATCTTTTGTTTTATTTGTTAATTATCAGATGTCTGTGTTTCTATAAGTGATGGGTTGCATTCTAACTTCTTGGGGTCAAACATGTTTCGATTTATTTTACCATGCATTTTTCCCCCCGTTGCTTCTAACCTTATTGTACTAGTGAGTTTCCAAAAGGCATCACTCTCACGTACACACACGATATGAAAACATTAGTTTCCATATTTCGAAAATACAGGCCCAATTGTAGCTAACCACCATTTTGGTTAGCCACCAAATATATAAACTTTACATCGTTTCTCATTGGTTTTCCAATTTATTCTGTTTTTCAGTGGTGTGGGTTTTTTTGTTGTGTTTTGGGCATCTGGAAGAGAATGTAAAGAGTGGTCAGGGTAATTGGAGCCATTCATCCAGGTCCTGTTTCCCCTCCCTTTTTCCTTCAAATATACTGATGCGACATGAAAGTGAAGTTTTCTGGAACACATGCAAATGCACGCTGTTCCTTTAGACCTCATCACAGTCTTCAGGGAATTGGACCAAGAAGCTAAGTGACATGAGTGAGAAGACCTCGATCATTCCAAATGTAGTGAGTCCTCCAGTAACTACACGGAGCAGCTAGCTTTTGCTAGAGAGTGTTATGGCACTTGTAAATGATTTCGAAAAGTGCCCCAAGGTTGCTCAGGCTTTGGCAATCATTGAACACGTTTTTCTCTGATAGTGTCCTTTATCTTACTGTTTGGATGAGGATCAGAGAAAGGACCCAGGCATAGAATGAGACCAGAGCTAATTGCCAGATAGCAAGATGCTGAATCATTTTTAGGGAGCTACATCAATTGTCCTTGCAGCCATGAAGCTTCCATTAGCATGACCACAAAGATTTTCTGTGTCTGTCCCTCTTTACATGGATCCGTTATTATTTCAGTTGTGAGCTCAATCAGACTTCGGGGGATGGGGAAACCCATGGCAAATAAGTATGCGATGGTGGGTTGGGCACAGTTTTGGGCTCTATTTAGTAGTAGAGAGACTTACCAGGAGGTATTTTTGTGGTCCATCATGCAAGGCGAGGTATAGAGCAAGGCTCCAAAATATGGGTTGTTGGGTGGGTTGATCTCATCTCCTAAAATCACTTTGGCCATTACCCTCTTCTGTCTGAGATGTGAAGAAATGTAAGGCTAAAGCACCCAGGAGCACATGTGCGTGTACATGTATGTGTATACACACAGTACACTTCATTGAGTGGGCAGCCTAATGCGATCTTCTCAATATTGTAAAGTTTAGACTTCACTCTGTATTAAACTCCGAAAAAGAGATTTATTGTGATCTTTCTAGCAAAGGATTTTTTTTTTTTCAACAAGGTACTCCTGGTTTGTCATGCCAAGAAAGTTAAAGATTGGAGACAAAAAAAGTCTCAAAGCTGTTAATCAACTGCATAGACATCACCCCCAGAATAGTTCACTGGCTCATGGGGCAGAGAGGCATGTGCAGTGTGTTTTCCTGCTCCTCACTGGTACCCATCAGGGCCAGCGTTACAGTTGCATTCTCTTCCTTTATTTCTGAGTCTTTATCCGAGTGCTGAGTCCAACCTGAAGGGAACCTCATAGCCCCATCTCCAGTGATGGAGGGGGATTGAGGAGAGTGCATGCCTTAATCCACCAGTGTACAAACTCGGGCCAAAGTGAGCAATCTTTCAGTTAGCCAAGGAAAACCCTGTCATTGCCTACATTATTCGTGATGCTTCTTGTCCAGTATCGTGTTCCTTTCACTTTTAATGTTTCCCTTTTCCAGTTCAGTCACTCCCAGAAACTGAGAGTTGTGTTTTGTGTTTTCTGGTGAATAACTCCAACAGCCTTTCTGTTCAACTCTTTTAATCTGATTACCAATAAAGTTAGCAAATATTTGATTACAAATCACAAACCCAGCTATCTTAAGTCACTTATCTTTTCTTAATTCTTCTTACCCTATCAAGCAAAGGGCTTGGATCCACAGTTTCCAATGCACTGATGTCTTGGGGGTGGGGACATATAGGAAAATGTACCGTGAGAGATGTAGGACTTGGCTTCCTACTTCTTATTTGTTCCATCGCTGACCATTGAGCCCTGAGGATTGAAGTATTGTTTTCTTTCACAGGTGCCTATGGGCCTGAGCACTGGGTGACGTCTAGTGTCAGCTGCGGGGGCCACCACCAGTCTCCCATAGACATTTTAGACCAGCATGCTCGTGTCGGCGAGGAGTACCAAGAGCTGCAACTTGATGGCTTCGACAATGAGTCTTCTAACAAAACCTGGATGAAGAACACAGGGAAAACAGGTAGAACATGTCTTTATCTGTCCACAAACAACATGAAATATTTCTGGATGTCTGCCTGAAGTGTACTGCACAGAGCTATAGAGAATGTATAGCTTAGCGAGAGCTGTGCAATCAGCCCTTAGTTGGAGAAACAGCCTCTTGCTTTACTGGCTGTGTGATTTGGGCAAATTCATTGACCACTCTGTGCCTCAAATTTTAAAAATATGATACATGTGGATAATAAAATTGTATCAACCTCATAGGGTTGTAAGGATTAAATGAGTCAATATATGTAAAGAATATAGAATGGGCTTTCAAAAATCTGTTCTATCCAATATAATATGGTGGCCACTGGCCACATGTGGATATTTAATTTTAAATTTTAATTTATTTAAAATAAGTAAGATTAAAATTCACTACTCCAGTTTTATTAGCCTAATATTGCCTCTCCCAACCAAGTTTTTTTAGGTTGTCTATATGCAATGTTTTAAAGCAGATATGATACACATTTAAATCTTTGTGGGTTTTTTTTTGGGGGGGGGGGAGTGGATTCACTTCACTTATTTATTTTTTCCAGGCTTATTGAAATATAACTGACATATAACATTATGCCTATTTATTTAATTGGGGTTTTTTATTGTTGTTGTTAATCCTCACCTAATGATGTTTTTCCATTGATTTTTAGAGAGAGTAGATAGAAACGTTGATATGAGAGAAACGTATCTTTTTTACCCAGCCCCCCAACTCTAAGCCTTTACCCTAAGGCTTTAATCCATTTCAAATTAATTTTTATGAGTGGTATAGGTTTTATTCCTTATATGTGATTATCCCATTTTTCCATTATCTTTTATTAAAGAAACTATCCTTTCCACATTGAATATTGTTGGCTCCTTTGTCAAATATTAGTTGACTACATATGTGTGGGTTTATTTCTGGCCTCTAAATTCTGTTCT